CGTGCATATAACAGCCATGCCTTAATTTCTCCCCCCCAACCCCCCCCAACCCCCCCCCCCCCCCCCACCACAACCACCGAAAACCATGCAAAAACCAATGGTGCCACCCACTTCCGGAAAAAAGCAAAGGCTTTGGTCCAGCCCAAACCCCCCGCAAAAGACGGCCGGCTGTTGAAGTTTGCCGAGCCCATGGGCCTCGAGCTCATTGACCGACACGGAGAGCTGCAGGACCCCCACATCCTCGTTGGAGCTGACCTAAGCCAAAGGCGCACGCCAGGAAAACCCGCTCGGCCCATAGGGCCGAGAAGTCCAGCATCTTGGCGCATCCGTTTCACATCAGGGTCGATTTTGCTGATACACTGCAAAAGAAAACATGTGTTCTGTAATATATATATATATATATATATATATATGTGTGTGTTTTGTACATATTTACATTTCTTTTAATATGTGAAATGTAAATTGGGGAGTTATACTACAGTCTTAACGTTCTTGTTTTCTTCTTTTCTTATTTTGAGTTTTTTATGTTTTGGATTTACATTTTGTTCTACGACTACATTTGGTAAGACAAGACCCGGAAGATGAGAGCATATCGCCAACGGATGCGAAAAAGAGAGGTCAAAACCTTTGAGAACGTGGCCAAAGAAATCCTGAGGCGTTGAAGTGCCTCAAAACTTCAGGCTCGGCTCGTGGAAACCTCCCCAAGCTGGCTCGCTCAGTCGCGATCCATGAAAGTCCTGCCAGTTCTTCATTCTACTCATGGAGGGGGAGCTGGGTTTTTAACGAACATGTACGGCGCGTCTCTTCATGCGACCCACTCTGATCAAGTGCGGCTGCGAGTTGCCTTTCGGCAGAAACGGATTGCTGCAGTAACTCCCTTGCCACGACCACTCAAAGCAACAAAGCCCCCACAAAGCATTGGCCCCATTGAGGCCTTCTTTGGACCCATTGGTATTGGTTTTGGCTTTTACTTCTGATTCGCTAGGCCCGCCACGAGTATCTGGCCTTATTCCCAGGAAATCCCGGGGCACGCGAACCCCTTGTGCTTGCCGGGTACTGGCGAATGCATGCTGGCAACGTCAGAAAAAGCTCTCAGCCTCTCCCGACGGAAGTACTTGCGCAGTTGCCAACATCCCGTCGAGTGATCAAACACCAGATTCAGGATTGGATGATATTCCAGAATTCAGAACTCAACATACCTTGCCGGTGCTCAGGGAATGAGGGAACGAACCAAGGGATCCCCCTAAAGGAACCTACACTACAAGGGATGGTTTATTGGGGTCATTCCCCCATCCCAGCTGAGCACCAGCACCAGCGCACACAAGGCCGAGTCAGCAACGTTGACCTATCACGCGCTGGGCAGCCGAGCGCTGTCGCACATGAGTCGCACCTGCCAGCCGGGATCGCGCCAACCACTGGTGCCCTTCCGTTGAAAATGCATACACATGCGCCCGCACACACACGCAGACACACAGACACACAGACACACAGACACACAGACACACAGACACACAGACACACAGACACACAGACACACACACACAGACACACACAGACACACACACACACACAGACACACAAACACACAGACACACAGACACACAGACACACAGACACACAGACACACAGACACACAGACACACAGACACACAGACACACAGACACACAGACACACAGACACACAGACACACAGACACACAGACACACAGACACACAGACACACAGACACACAGACACACACACACAGACACACACACACACACACACACACAAATACCCAACTTGGTGAAAGCATGCCAGAGGTATTGCTCGGCGCAGATTAAACCCCGCCCGGCCAGCGCCTCGGACGCAGTGCGCACACACACACGCAAGAAAGAAAAACAATAAAACAAAAAACGGACGAACTGTGCGAAATCTTCTCTGTACCATTCAATAATCGTATCCTGCCACTCTTCAAGGTCCTAACTGCAGACTGAAAGCACCGTCCGCCACCGCCCAACTCAGCAAAAGTCCCGAGGCCCTCACCAACCCACCTCACCTCACAAGCTGACCGCCTCGACACTTCGCTCCCTTTAGACATGCGAACCTTCACAGAAAGAAGAAAGTTAAGAAAGGCCCCAGCAAAGCTATTCTTCTAACATCAGATAGCGATAGCTCCCCTTGTTCTGGCCACGTTTCATCAATTCAAAAAAACAAAAAAAAAACAAAAGGTTTTGATGTACGCCCATACAGGTATGCGTCCCAACTCTCTTGGTCTCTGCGCCTGGGCATTTCAACACGTCAGCGCTGTCTCACGGCTGCACTCATACCAGTATGCGCGTGCAACCCAACATCTGTAACACGAACATCTGTGTCAGCGCCACTCGCCGAGCCAACTCACCTCCTCCCATCCCCACCTCCCCACCCCCCGACCCCCCCACCTCTCCACCCACGTCCCCACCCCACCTCTCCTCCCCCCCAACCCCTCCTCCCCCCCTCCTCCCCCGCACCTCCCCCCCAC